TATTAAAGGGCTTAGCAAACCTGAAAGCACTATGTAAATATCAACCAATCTAATATTTACCAATCAAAACTAGTTTAGTATGGTTTCCTCTTTTTGCCTCTGTATCCTAAGCACATTGTCTTGCTCACAGTATGTATACAGTAATCATTTTTTACGTTTTGTATAAGTCCTAGCTTGAACACAACTATATCTAAAGGAATCTCATTAACAGAGCGGATTCCCAAGTTGACCTCACAGTAAAATATCTAATTTTTATACCTAAATATTCCAGTTATCTCCCTATTAAGTGTTTTCACCATGTCAAGTTTTATGACAGAACTACTTTAAAAAATAAATGGTTGGCTTGTTTTTGCAAACTCTTTGAATAACTTATAAACATAAAAGGCCAAATAACAGTTCATTTATATTCATCATTGGGTTGTCAGTGCAGAAAAGGAGGTAGGAAAGAGAATGTAGTTTTAAATTTTTCTTTAACATAACAAGAAGAAAAAAAGAGTCCAAAGAGACATGCTAGTACAAATTATGAAAGTCTGTCTGATGGGAGGACTAGGGCAATTTGGTCAGGTAAACTATAGCTAGAGAAATTTGAAAAATACAATTTAGAAAAAAATCAAATCTTACAGGTTTTTTTTTAAAAAAAAAACACTTTAAGGCAATGAACTGGAAACAAAATAGATGCCCACTGATTGAATAACTATTAAATAAATTGTGGTTAAACAACTTTCATGTAATGAAAAAAAAAATGAATATGAAAAATACCGAGAAGTATGGGAAGTCTTCTATGAACTTATGCAAAGCACACAGAACCAGAAAAACAATATATGCAATGACTGTGACAATGGAAATATAAATAACAACAAAAATCAAAACTGAAAGCTGTTTAATTATAAAGGCCCAAAAGAAAAAATGAAAAAATGAACCTCCTGTCAGACTCCAGAAGTCCTTTTCCCCATTCTTTTTTTTAAGGGGGGAGGTTATACTTGGAAGCAAAGGTAATGTAAAAGCAAAAGTTATTTCAAAATTTGTTAAGCTTTGCAGAAGACTCAAGTATCAATAGTGCCTGTTGTACTCATCAACATTTTTGTCAAGAAGAATGGGAGATATTTGAATCTTCGAGTATGGGTCAGAGAAATCACTATAGGGAGTAAATTAGGATTCTTCACGTCTCCAATGTAACAGCGGTAGAAAGAGCTTTATTTAACATCCTTGTCATCAGTTGCTATGATAGGGAGAAACATAATAAATGGAATCACCAGCTCTAGAAATCTACAATTTTGTATCTTTTCAGACTCGGAAAAGATTATTCATAATTTATTCATGACAGCAAACTTCAATAAAGTTTGAGGCTTATACTTATTTTTGTTCAATTATTATATAGGTATTCTGTATCTAAATTAACTAAAGGGAGGCAAACAAACCTATGAGTCTGAAAACAAAAACAATTGTGACAGTGTAATCCTAAGAAGTAGTAGAGGTGTAAAATAACCTAGTAAAATAGGAATAAAAAGGGGGTTCATGATACTACTGTGGCAAAAATAAAGCCATTTTCATATGAATAATTTTATTCTGTCATGTACCAGAGAAACAAATTCTTTGAGAGTTTAAAACTCAGAGCCACAACAGTAAAAGGCAAACCTAATTTAGTTTTCTGAGAAAAAAAAATACAGCAATATATCACTTAAATCTTGAGGAAACAAAGCTTTTAAACAAAGTTGGCCTGGGTGGAACTTGACTATTAGAAAGGGAGGAAGGTAAGTTTGGGTTCAAACTCCTGACTGCTCAATCAGAGGTGGCTGAGAAGTTCGGCTGCTGCTTTCTCAGGTACACAGCTCATAAATAAGCCAGTCTACCTCCTGGTCACCATGAAGTGGAAGATGCTGCTCAGGCTCAACTTCCTTCCACTACCCCACTTACTGCAAACTAAAAGTCAAGAACACTCAACTTTAGGGGCCTGAAGGATGGAAAAATCACAACCCACCTCACCTAAGAAATATGGTAGGGATCTCTCTTCCCTCCCCATCCAACTCCACTTCAGGATAAAAGAATACATATTCTAGAACTCTTCCTTATGTGTCCAATGTTATTTTTACCCTTGGTAAGGAGTTGTGTCATTTTAAACAGTGCCCCTTCTACAAAATATTCAACTCATCCTTTTAAAAGTAAAATGTTTTAATTCAATGAAAACAAAGAAATGTATTTCAGTTTGAAGAGAATACGATAGAGAAGGATAACAAGAGAAAAGAGAAAAGATCTGGGGGGGGTTTACAATGAAAACAACAGGAGACTTGGAGATAGCAAAGGCTGATTCTAGTCAGGATTCTGCCATTAACTATCCATGTGCTTTTAGGTCAATCACAGAATCCTAGAACTAGAACCAGAAAGGGGCCTCAAAAAGCAACTACTTCAGTACTTTCTTTTTAGAAATGAAGAAAACGAAGTGAAATTACTTCTCCCAGGTCACATAAGTAGTAATCATTCAATCAAGGAGTATTTATTCAGGTATTCTTCTAAGCACTGGGGACAGACAGAAAGAGAAAAGTCCCTGGACTCAAAAAGTTTAGGGGAGAAAAAAAGAGCATATAAGTACATACTATACATAATATATGAAAAATTAACAGAAGGTTGTAAACTCAGAAGCAAAATTTGAACACAAGTCTTGTGACTCACGGATCCACTTACTACACCAGGCAAATTCCTTCTCTCCAAGCCTTGCTTTGTCATCTGCAAAATGTCTAAATGACTAGTCACAGATGATCTTAAGCTTAGAGCTAAAAGGAATCTTCAAAGTCCAACTTCCTCATTTCACAGAAGAAGAAACTGAAGCTCAGAGCACTTAAATCACTTTTTTTTTAAAGGCAATTTGGATTAAGTGACTTGCCCAGGGTCACACAGCTAGTGTCAAGTGTTTGGTCTGAGGCCGGATTTGAACTCAGGTCCTCCTGACTTCAGGGCAGGTGCTGTACCCACTGGGCCACCTAGCTGCCCCTCATTTAAATCACTTTTCCAAAGTCACAAAGGTAGGAGGTGGCCAGCTATCCTGTGAAGTCCGGATTCAGTCAAAGGACCTCACTTGAGGACTAAAGGGCCACATGTGGCCTTAAGGCTGCAAATTCCCCCCACCCGTTATACCACGATGCCTCCTACAGAAAAGACAGATGCCACCACACACAGCACATCTACATAGGGCTTTAGAGTTTATACAACGTTTTCCTCAAAATTACCCTGTGCAGAAGTACCAGTGTCATCATTTTACATAAGAGGAAACTGTGACTCCAAAAGATGCTATAACTTGCCCACTGTCGTACATCTATCCTCTCTCACCCCTCCCCCATAAAACACAGATTCATGGAGAGAAAGAAAAAAACACAGAGGTGTTTAATAAAGCTTGCTGAACTGAACTGGAAATAAAGACAAAAAAAGAACTTAATTATGACGATAAACAGCCTTTAAACTTGCATCATACTTTTGCAACTACAGCCACAAATATCACTTCTTGGTACCTGCTCCCTTACGGCAGACTGTTACTCCCGGGTTAAATTATTTGACTCTTGCTTTTGTAAACTCACAAGCAAAAGTGACAAAGTAAAACTGGGAATGAGACATTCTAAGTTTTGCAACCTGAAAAATGTGTACATACAGACATTGGTTTATCAAATCAATGATGAGAGTCATAGATTTTGAGTTGAAAGGGTTTTTAAAGAGTATCGAATCCAACCCCCTTCTCTTCACGATGAAGAAACTGAGGCCCAGAGGTCAAGTGACTTGCTCTGTGGTCCATACAGGTAATAACTGACGGGGTAGTTTCCATTCTAAATCCATTTCTCCTTCCACCATACCATGATGTCAAGGTCAAATTTGCTTTTGAAAAAGATTAACAACTACTGGGTTTTAATATGTTATTTTCACACCTAGGTAATGGGATCAGGAGGACAGCAAGGACAATTACTTTGGGAGACTGGAATTTAACAAGTTAAGAATTAATACCATTTGTGTGCCTTGCTGTCTTACAAAAACAGAAAATACGGCTGGAAAAATTCATATTAAAATCTGCCAGAGGAATTTTGCTCCCCTTTTTAAAAATGTACCAATATTTACTGAACTCTTACCTAATTAAAAGGTATCTAATAACTAATAATGACTCCAGCTACTTTATATACCTACAGCACTGCACATTGGTTATCATCAATTTTTAACTATATAACTCATGTTTCGTATATCACAGCTCACCATTTAAACAAACGACACTGCCCCCCAAAATGCTGAAAAATTTAAGGTCTCTATTTTAGGACGCTTCATGGGGGGACCCTGAGAGGACTCAAAGAACTTCATGCTTAAAATAGAGGGATAAATTGGGGGTGCAAAATTAAACACTCCTGACTTCAACAATGCAAAAATCATAGGAGGGTGGGTCATTCTCTAAAGGCATCTGTAACTAAGAGGGTCTCCAACCACAAATGTTTGAATGTATTCTGCCACCACCCAAATAAAACTGTCCCTGCAAAGTGACCTCCAGTTCACATACCCCAAACAAATCTCGTCGTATAATACCACAGATTTAGAACTGGATCTCAGAGGCCATCTAGTCCAATTTTTACAGATGAGGAAACTGAGGCCCACTGAGGTAAATAAAGTTCCTTGCCCAAGGTCATACAAGTAATGTCCAGGTGCTATTTGAATCCAAGCCTCCGACTCCAAATCCTCTTTCCGATCAGTAATACCTTGGGGGAGGGATGGGGTCGGGAAGGGATGCTTTACCTTTCCCACCCCAACTCCAGCCGAAATTGTAGACTTGGCATTACAAAACTTGCTGAAACAGCAAGATGGCCATTTCTCCCGAAAGCGCTCCCCCAGCACATCTACGCACACAAAAGTAGCCAATCTTCCAGGGATAAGCCCGCGCGTCCAGTTCGCCACCACCAGCCCCAAGCCCCCAAGCCTGTCCCGTCGCCAGATGAGCCCCCCAGAGAGCCCCCGGCGGCCAGCCCCCGCCTAGTGACTACCTGGTGAAGAAGTCCGCAAAACCACCACCGCCGCCGCCACCACCACCTCCTCCGCCGCCGCTCCTCCGGGCTTTGGCCGCAGCCCCCGCCGGGCCCAGCTCCGAGGCGGCCGGGGGCCCCAGGAGCCCCTCCCGGGCCAGGTAGTCCGGGGCGCTCTGTCGGCGGCTCACCTCGTACGTGTTCCGAGAGTTCAAGTTCACGTCCGTGAAGCGAAAGCCCGGCTCGGCGTGGGCCCCCCCGCAGTCCTCTCGTCCGCCTCCCCGCCGCGCTGCGCGGCCCTGGGCCCGGCCGGCGGCGGCGACTGCCGACCTCCGGAGACGTCCTCCGAGCCCGAGCCGCCGCCTGGCTCCCCCGGCTCCACCGCTCCCAAGCGGCAGCTCCGGAGCGGGTCCTCCAGCGGAGTCGCCCCGTCGGGCGGGCTCTCGCCGCCGTTGTCGGGCCCGGGCAGGCGGCGGAGGCTGGAGGCGCGGCAGCAGCGCGGCTCCCGGGGGAAGCGGAGAAAGCTCCCCCCGCCGCCTCCCTCCGGGGCCGACGACGAGCAGGACCGGGCGGGCAGGGGCAGCCCGCCGGCCTCGAGGTCGTGACAGCCCGGGCCCAGCAGGAAGCCCGAGTCGCCGTTGGTCATCCTCGGGCGCGGGGGCCGCAAGCCGCCGCCCTGAGGGGGCTTTCCGTCTGGCTCGTCCCCGCAGAGCCGGGAGCCCGAGCCCGGCGGCGGCGGGGGACGGCCGGCCTGGCTGCCGGCGAGCGGGCTACAGTGGCACAGCGCCGGCTCCAGCTGCCCGCCCGCCACCGCCAAGTATCGCTGAATCAGCCGCTGAGGCGGCGGCGTTGCCCCCTCCTCCTCCTCCGATTCCTCCTCCTCCTCCTCCGATTCTTCCTCCTCCTCCGATTCTTCCTCCCCCTCCTCCTGCGGCTCCAGGCAGCAGCTGCCGCGGCCACCCCCGGGGCCGCCCGTGGCCCCGATCATCCTCCCGTCGCGGCCCCCGGGCTCGGGCCCCGGCGGAGGGAACAGTCTGGGCTTCCTTCCCGGACAGGCGCCAGCATCCTCCGGCCCCACCATCTGGCGGTCCGGCGGCTGGCGGCGGAGCGCGACACTGACGACCGAAGGCGACCGGCACAGCCCCGCGCACAACGCTCCGCTCTGCCAAAAAACGGCTCTCAGGCCCCGGGCCGCGGCGGCCGCCGCCGCAACGCTCCCCGCCCCCTCCCCCCAGTCCGCCAGCAGTTGCCCACGGGCACACACTGGGCTACGCGCACGCGTAGCAGCGGACTGGTCAAGAAACCACCGCCATCGCCACCCCCACCTCCCGTCCCCCTTCCCCCCACGAATCCCAGATGATTTCCCCAAACCATAGAGACAGGGGCTAGAGAGCCTCACTCCATGACAATCTCAGGCAGCCAATAAGCGCATCCGCCACCTGGAGTGTGGTGGCTACTTGGTCGATGCAGATTACGAAATTCTGACAGATGTGGGGGCCCCTAGCTGAACGGAGATTCACAAAAGGATTCAAGGAAAAGTTATTGGGCGCCTTCCTTTTAAGCGAGGTTGAGGATTTCTAAAATGTAACAGCTTCTTCCCTCAGGGAGTTTACGTGTTACTAATACTTAGTAAACATGTGCTGGACCATAATAAAGGCGGTAAGGGGTTGCACGTAAGTCGTGGTCCTTTGCCTTCAAAGGGTTTACCATCATCAATTTGTCCTTTCTGAATTTGAGATTCCTTAATAAGTACAAAAAAGGCCATTGAGAGCAGGGGTTGTCTTTTGCCTTTCTTTGCTGTATCCCAACGCTTACAGGCAATTCATAAATGTTTATTGACTGACTGAAGATTAAATATACTTTAGGGGAAATCCTAGAAGGCTTCATGGAGAAAGTGAGATTTAAACTGAATATCAAAGTATGTTTGGTTTTGGTTTTGAATAAATGAGCAGGATGGAGAAGACATTCCAGGAAAAGAGGGCATAGAGACAGTATGTTTATGGGATAGTGAAAGATCATACTAACCCAGATGGAGCAAAAGATTTACAAAGAAAATAGAACTGTGTCTTTGGAAGAATAGATAAACATTTCCAAAATGTGTTATTTGTTGCTTATTCGTGTCTTTATGAGCCCATTTTTGGCTTTCTGGGCAAAGATACTGGAGTGATTTGCCACTTCCTTCTCCAGCTCACTTTACAGATGAGGAAATTGAGGCAAACAGGGTCAAGTGACTTGCCCAGGATCACACAGCTGGTGTCTGAGGCTGGATTTGAACTCAGGAAGATGAGTCTTCTTTGACTCCAGCTCCAACCCTCAATCCACTGCACCACCTAACTGCCCCAGAATTTGTTTTAAATGTGTTATAATTCCTATTTTGCATAAGTTTATTAGTATAGATTGTTATGATGTGAGTCTGAGGTACTTCTGATCCAAAGCTGGTAAATTTATACTATCACCACCAAAGGGGTTCTCAGTTTCTCCTTCAAAGACCCTGACCTTGGGACTATACCCTTATCCCTTTGTTTCTTCCTGGCATCCTTCAAGCACAGTGTTCTCAGTACAACATATTGAATAATCAACTACAAAGTGGGATGTTTCAGTACCTGGCCAGCACTTAGACATTCCAATATAACTTCATTTACCCTTTGCACCTGGAGAATGTCAATTCTGAATTACCAATTATGTAGCAGCAGAGTTTCTTAAAGTGTCATCAAGAAGTTGGTGGATTGTCGGGGAGAAGGCAAAGATGACCATGGAAAGTTAAAAACCCCTGCTCTGGATCTAATGACATTGTATGAATATTAATGGAAAAAGTGGGTTATTTATCAGTTATCCCTTTCCTTTGTTATCTGACTGGCCTGCTACTTCTCATATATCTCTTTGATGTTAAGCTTTATGCCTCTTCTCAATCAATAGCAATCAATGAATATTTATTAATTGCCTGTTACTGGTGAGGGGCAGCTCAGTGGCACAATGGATAGAGTGCCAAGCCTGGAATCAGGAAGAGTCCTCTTCTTGAGTTCAATTCCAGCCTCAGACATGTACTAGCTGTGTGACCCTAGGTAAGACATTTAACCCTGTTTGCCTCCGATTCTTCATCTGTAAAATGAGCTAGAGAAGGAAATGGCAAACCACTCCAGTATCTTTGCCAAGAAAACCTCAAATGGGGTCATGGAGAATCAGACATGACTGAAAAACAACTAAACAAATGACTGAGACACCACGCTGAGCACTGGGGATACAAAAGGAGGCAAAAGACAGTCACTGCCTCCAAGGAGCTCACAATCTAATGGGGGAGAAAGCATACAAACAAGTAGAAATAAAGCAAGCTATATATAGGATAAATGGGAAATGATTAATAGGGGGAAGGCACTAGAATTAAGAAGGATCAGGGAAGGCTTCCATTAAAAGATGGGATTTTTAGTTGAGATTTAAGGGAAGCCAGGGAGGTCAATAGTTGGAGTGAAAGAGGGACAGTCTGCACACTTCTTTATTAGTAAATTGTTATGGACAATGTATACCTACCATGTGCCTCTCCGCTCCCCTTTGCAACACATGGAGCTTTATTCCTTTGGAGATGAGAGTATTCCATGACTCACCAGACAAATACTGAAGAGAAAAGACAAGGAAAGAAAAGAGGAGAGGAGAAAGGAAGAGAGAGGAGGGTAGGGGGGAAGAGAGAAGAAAATAAAGATGGATCAATGTTTCAGAAAGAACCTTAGGGTTAGGTACTTTCCTAGAAACATTTTTGCCAACTTTCTTCTTCCTATTCAACTCTGGACCCTACTCATCGTCCATTTTTTCCTATCCATCTAATATATACATATTGATGAACTTGCTCTCTGAGTTGTCTGCCCAAATGTATATACCAGCCTGGACAAATAATCATTCTTCCCTCCATTTTACTTGTTGACCAAGGATTTCACCATTAGAGTACCAACAAAAAGGTCAATATTTAGGTCAATATTTATATAGGATAGGGAATGGATCTGTGATTTCACTGTACTGGGAACTCTCTAGTGAGGAAACTACCTCTTTACCAACATATATAAGCACCTTCTCTGCAACTCAGAGCCTTAGAGAGCTGCACAAAGCACTGAGAGATTCAGTGTCTTGCCCAGGTCCCACAAGCAGTATGTGTCAGAAGCAGGTCTTGAACCCAGGGCTTCCTCCTACAAGGCCAGCTCATTATGCACTATGACAAGTTGACTTTCAACTTAGAAGTAATCTGAAAAAAGTGGGACTCCTAGAGCCCTGATTCCCCCTTTTTGCTACTCTACAACTGTCATTGCACATAAGACTGATGGCCGCTTTGTAATTTTTCTTTTGTTTCAGGTTGAGCTGCCTGGCCAAGAAATTTATCACTAAGTAGCTACTGGTGATGAGCCTCTCTGTTCACATAGCAAGGTCAGCCCTTGGAAAACAGATCTAGAAAGCTCTTCTACCAAGGTAAGCAGAAGCTACCAAAGCTTGTGAGCCACCGGCCTAGCCTTCTAGAACTCAGGGCCATTTCCATAACCACACAAGTCCTTGGAATACAAACTTATGGAGGGCAAACCTTAAAGTTCTGTATAAATCAGTGGTGTCAAATTCAAATAGAAACCATTTCCTGGGAACTACATATTAACTTAGAAAACCACAGATTGACATTATTTATGTTGTATTTTTATTTATTTTTGTTAAACATTTGCCAACAACATTTTATCTGGCTCTATATACTTGGGAATTTTGTGGGCTCCTGACTGTTTGCATCCCCAGGCTGAGAGTTTGATACCTCAGATATAAATATGAACTCTTATTACATACATTTTATTACTTTTCCATTCAATTTTATTTTATTTTCAGCTCTACATTTTCTCTTTCCCCACCACCTTTCCCACCCATTGAGAAGACAAAGTACAAAACTCTTTACAAATATGAAGCCATGCAAAACAAGTGGCCAAATATTATATACATTTTAAAAAGAGAGTGTTTGTTATTCTAACCAATTCATTAATTGCGCTGATTTCAGGGGAAAAAATCCAGCAGCAAGAAAACCCTGGAAGATCATATTTTAGGTCAAGGAGTCATCACCTTAGGTAAAAGTGAATGCAAGGGATGGATCCTCTAAGTTTTTCCTGCTTTTTATAGCTTTTTTCTACACTTTATGTTTAAACTCACAGATTATCTGAAAGCACCAAGTTTTTTTGTTTTTGGTTTTTTCTCCACATGTCCTGTGGCAGCAGCAGTAGGAATTTCATCCATGAGAAGATTAGGATCATAGGGTTATAATTCTAGGGCCAGAAAGGAGCCATCTCCTCCAACCCCCCTCATTTTAGAGATGAAGAACTGAGGCCCAGAGATGTTAAGTGACTTGACCAAGATCACACAGGTAATATGTTTCAGAAGCACCATTAGAACCTTTGATTCAAAAGCCATGCTCTTGGAATAATTGTAAATTGGGACTATTTATATAGGTGATTTCCCATGATAGGTTCCATTTAATTCAGTTTAACCTTTTTTTTTTCATTTCATTCATTCCAATTTGGTCATCACACAACCTCCAAAATAATGTTACTGTAATAGCCCAATGTAACATCCAGATTTATACCCACTTATATTAATTCTGAAAACCACCATATACTCTGATTTTCTTCTCTACAACCAGCTGCATTATTAATCATATGATACCACACGTTAGTGGTAAAAAACAATTTACTTCAAATAGAAACACATGATAAAATGAGGAAATTACATTAAGAGTAACCAGTCTCAGTATTTGTGTTCTACAACCCAACCACCTCCCACCCCCTCAGCGTCAGAAAATTCTATTTCCTGCCAATGTTACCCATTCCAGTGCCCACTCAACAAGAGTAGAACATGGTAAGTTAATAATTTGTGTCTTAGATGATTAGAAAAGGTGCTTGCTGTTGCAGCTTACAAATAGGAACACAGAGTCTTCAGTGATCTGCTCACCACAGGAATGCTGAGTCTTCAAGAACATGCAGCTGCTTAGCAGCTGCTCCCAGTACAGAAGGTGTCAAGTCTAGCCAGAGAGTACAATGTACAACCACAGCAAATCCAAAGACTGGCATTACAGGAAATAAAGGGGAAACCTCAGCATCTACAAACCACAGTAGGATGAGTTGGGAGAAGCCTCTTCCGCCACCATTTCCTTCCCTTCCTTCTT